TTCATAAACCTGAACATGCTTGCATGCATGTTCTTCAGTCGTAAATGGCAATCACAAATGTAAACAGAATTTTACTTTTGATGTCAAGCTCTTTTATATGATACAACAGTCAACATGTGTTTTTCGTTCTATTTTCTTTTAAAAATTGGATCCATTGTATACTAATCTACTGTTAATAATGGTTTTGATTGGGCAATTGCACATACATGTTATTCTCTGGAATAATGTTCTTGAATTTCCTGCTCTTGATGTTTCTTTTGCCTTTCTATATTCAAAAACTTGAAATCTGTAGCTTGAGATTTTGTTATGCATGACCTAGTTTTACTTCATATTGTTTTGTATTTGTCTTACGCTTTTATTAAGAGGATGTACTGAAAACCGGAATATAATGAATTGACAATAAAAAGAGTGTGGGTATAGATCCAATTCAAAATATGTATATTGATAAACTTGAAACATCATAATTACCCCCCAAAAAGAACTTGAAACATCATACTTTTTTTCTTGAATCTCCTTAATTTAAGTGCAACACAGCCCGAATAGATGACCTGTAGAATGAACTAGTAACGTAATGGGCANTTTATGAATTGTATATCATTAATTTGACATTTCTTTAAGTGCAAAACAAAAAATATAGTTGTGTAATTTTTCCTTACATCGGTGAAAGAGATAAAAAATCAAAATCAAAAGATCGTTAAGACAGATGTTTTCACCAAGACCAAATAAAAGATTACAAAGTAAAGAATGAAGAACTTCAAATTTTCATTTTCTTTTAACCAGCGCCATCTCTGTACCTGAGATGTCTATGATGTATTTGGTCCTAATAGAGCACCAGGTTTTGTAGAACCAATAAATGGATTTGCTTTTGGCTGTTGAAATAGGATGATATATTTTTTGATAACCGAGAAATTCCAGAGGGAAAGTGGTGCAAGGTTCGTAACTTGGCGGATAATGGGCCTGCCCTTCTAACCTTCTTCACTTAAATACCGGGCTTTTATCCGTGGCAGGTTTTGAACCTGTAATGTGAGCCTATCCTACATCAGGAGTTGCTCTCTTACCACTAGACCAAAACCCTGGGGGCAAAATAGGATAATATTACCAGCTTAGTTATTTTTCATTTTCATGGAGAACATTCCCTTTTAGTACATTCTACCCTCCCCAGACCCCACTTATGGGATTATACTGGGTGGTTGTTGTTGTTGTTGAAAGCTAAGACAAAATTCCTAAATCCAAGTGCATTTGCACTTTAATAGAATTTTAAATACTGTGCCAAGTCTGGTGTTAATTGGTACAATATGGTCTCAAATATTTATTTTTTCTTGGTACCAATTTATTTCTATAAAATTAGATTTAAGTATGGAAAATCATAGATCTCAAGAAAATAAGTCATGAAATATCAATACTATATGTTATGGGAAGTCTTTACACTAATTAACCCCCACACCCCCAAAAAAGATGTGAAGTCTTCCATTACTCTATACTTAATTTATGAATTGTATATCATTAATTTGACATTTCTTTAAGTGCAAAACAAAAAATATAGTTGTGTAATTTTTCCTTACATCGGTGAAAGAGATAAAAAATCAAAATCAAAAGATCGTTAAGACAGATGTTTTCACCAAGACCAAATAAAAGATTACAAAGTAAAGAATGAAGAACTTCAAATTTTCATTTTCTTTTAACCAGCGCCATCTCTGTACCTGAGATGTCTATGATGTATTTGGTCCTAATAGAGCACCAGGTTTTGTAGAACCAATAAATGGATTTGCTTTTGGCTGTTGAAATAGGATGATATATTTTTTGATAACCGAGAAATTCCAGAGGGAAAGTGGTGCAAGGTTCGTAACTTGGCGGATAATGGGCCTGCCCTTCTAACCTTCTTCACTTAAATACCGGGCTTTTATCCGTGGCAGGTTTTGAACCTGTAATGTGAGCCTATCCTACATCAGGAGTTGCTCTCTTACCACTAGACCAAAACCCTGGGGGCAAAATAGGATAATATTACCAGCTTAGTTATTTTTCATTTTCATGGAGAACATTCCCTTTTATCTTCTTCCTATTTGTCAACAAAACTTCCTTTTTCTAGATGAGGAGAAGATCCCATGTAAATTATCTTTACTAGTAACATAATTTTAAGTTGTTACTAGATGAGAACCATGAATGGTAGTAGCACAATACTTTATGCAGAGACAGTCTTTTCGTGGACAAAACATGCATGCAATATAAAAGGGTGGATCTTCCCCTTTGTTTATATCAGCCTTAATACCTGAGTAGTAATTCCCAAGGTGTAGATATACTTCCACTTTCATCGGGTTTCTAAGGTTTACTATTTATTTTTTCCTATGCACTCTAATTTTCAGTCAGCAAAGAGTGTGTGTGTGTGTGAATATAAACCCTATATGTCAGATTTATATGTTTCATATTGTGACACGTTTTGCTGAAAAAGCATTTCTCTTTAACTCTTACTCTTATGGTTGAACGTTGAATATCTGTCTATAAATGCTGCGACATGGCTTACGAGATTGTTTTATCAGGGAATATATGAAACAAAGGTTCCATTGGAGTTCAGTGCTATTCTCCAGCTGGGTTGTGTTTGTAAAGTTGATAAAGCAGCTAAAAAAAGGAATCCACAAGATGGTTGGAGTTTGAGCGAGCTGCATATGAAGACAACCACTGAGTGCCCATATTTGGATCAGTCAATTACTTTCTTCTACTTATATCACAGGCAAGTTAGGGTCCCCTTTCATTCTAGTATATACCTGCTAAAAACTACAGCTACACATTTCCATTTCAAGTTTGATATTTTACGTGCTTATGATGAATCATGATACATTATGTTTAATTCAACGTGCATGGTAAAGACTTGTTCTATAGAGGAAGCATGTTGGTGGGTGACACTGTCTTATGAGGATAAGATTGAACAGTTCTGTTTCACCAAAAGTAAATCTTTGAATATATTTTCACTTGACTGTAAAAAAAAAAAAATTCTCTCCACGTATTAAAAAGATCCTCTTTGCATATTATTCTGATAGTAAGCATCCGGGTTCCAAATCCCAAATTCTGAGGTAGTCCTGTAAATCTCAAACTTAAACTAAAATTACCCGTGGTTGACTGTTGGTACTCTATAGACATGATTACTCGTTAACTACCAGGTAAAACCCATTCACTTGCCAAACTCTTTCCTGCTAAGAATACAGCAAGCTAATAGTGCTCTAATATATAAATATTGCTCGGAAGTACCAAAATCATTGATGTCCAAATTTGTCTGCATTAATCTACTTGGGTTCTAAGGTGCTGCCTTACTTTGCTCACTTCTGATGTAAATTACTTGGGTATTACTTACGGCTTATCTATTTGGCTTGTTTGTTGGATTGATTATCCCGTTTCTTAGTCAGACCACATTGGATGTTAGGGGATAAGGATTTCAACTGCAAGCATGAAAATAGAGTTGATTTGCTTCGTTTTTGGTGGGATTGTATTTTGCCTGTCATTGTAATTTATTTTGTTTAATGTTTGCTCATTCAGTTTTCTCTGAATATTGCAAGTCCTAGTGGGATTTGTCATTTGGTGCAATATATGCTAATTGTTTTGGCCTAACTTTTGCCTTCTCTTCTATCTATCAAAGATACCTTTTGGATCCAAGGATGCAATTACTTACATGTCTTTTTCCATTGATCATTGTCTTTTTGGCTAGCTGGCATTTACCTCATCACTAGGAGTTTAAATATAGTAGGGTAGCCTATTCTTTTCTCCTGTGGGGAAAAAGAGGAATCCTTGTATTGCTCCTCAAATTAATGGCATCTAAGTGGTTGTTTCATTTTGAAGATTAAGATGTTTGAATGTGAATATCTATCTAATTATTAAGATATTATCTCTAAATCTGAATACTTCTTAGTTAAGATAGTTTGTTTTCTCAGCATTTGAATGTGCGTATTTATCTTATTTAAAAATTAGTAAATATAAAATGCAGTGCCACCAGCTAATAATGCACTGCGTGGTGCTTACCATTAATAAACCGATTGTTTCTTCTTCTGGAGAGGATTTTTGTTATCAGTGAGCCACCAGCTAATAATGCACTGCCAGATGCTCCCCATTCACTTCTAACCTCAAAAAAGCTTCTAAAGTGTTCCCATACTGCAACTGAGGGGACTATCAATAACACATTACTCCATTGTCTCACATGTAGTGGCATTTTCCAAAAAGACGACCCAATACCTATTCTGTCTAAACAAACTTGAAACTAGTTCAACCAAAACTAAATCCATACACCCTCATTTGCTTTTGGAAGAGAAACCAAACCCAGTTCTTCCCGAACATCCTCCCAAAAAAACCCAAAACTAATTCAACCAAAACTAAATCCAAACACTCACATCTATACATTTGTGGTTCAAAATAGGACCCTTGTTCTCCCAAATCTAAACCAAATATCCACGCCTTTTCTAATTCAAATGCTACATAATCAGAGCCTTAACATTTTACTTTAAATAACCAACTCTAGAATTTTCCCGTAGGTGTAAGCAAACATGCAGTTCATCGCTGGTACTGGTAGAGGGTTTTGCTAGAATGATAGTAATTGTTCTCACTTCAACTGCAGGCATGTTGCTTTTTCTGAAATCCAATATCCATTTTCGCCACCAATTTTGTATCATCTAGATTTGGTCACACCAATGTTTAAGTCTGCATATGTATAGATCGTGCTAGTTATTAAGAATTAACATTTGATATATGAATTACATTTCAGCTTGTTCGATGGACGAGCCATTTATGTGGGATATTTTCCTTCGTCCAAGATGATACATGTTGTGGTTGTTAATCCATTTCAAAACAAAGAATTATCACCACACATTCTTGAAAAACATTATTATGAAGCTTGCCAAACATTGTCTGGTCAGCCTATCACACAAAAGGAAGGTATTAGTTTTAAGGTAAGGTCATTGTTCTTTCAAAATAACATTCAATTAATAATGTCTTTGCTTTGAATTTTGATCTCATTTTTATCCTTTTTGTATTTTGGCTCCTATTTAGGTGGATTATATCAGGCACATCAAGGAAGCGGAGAGGATTCTACAGAGAATAATAAATGAGCATAGGTTAATTTCCATTATCTTAATCCTTATCGTTTTTATTTTTCAGTCTGTGGGCTGATAATGTAAAGTTTCTTCAGCCTAAACAATGTTCCACAGAATCTTCTAGAATCCTTAATGGCCTGCTTGTGCATAGGTTGAACCATCTCTCATACTGCATTATATTGTTTTTGATAAGAAAATGGATGTTGGCCGTAACTCAACCCCAAAAGGTAGTTCATGAGGTGATGATTACCTAAAACCATACAAGAAGACCACAACCCATTCCCTCAACCAATACGGGATACTCTAACAACTCCCATGCTCATGACCGGACATCTGAAGCATGAATAACATATTATCTGGGCCCAACTTTGAGTAAACCATGAACAGAGGTGGGTCTTGCTCCGATACCATGTTAAGCAAATAGATCCTGGGCTTAACTCAAGCCCAAAAGTTAGCTAATGAGGTAAAAATTGCCCAATACCATATAAGGAGACACCAATCCATCCTTTCAACCAATGTTGGACGCCCTAACAGGTGCAAGCTACTTTACTGGGAGGAGAACTATTTCCCTTTACTGAACATATTGAATTTGATTAGCTTGTTTTTGGCTATTTATCACCCAATTCCTCACTGGTAAACATGTTTATGAACTTAGCAGGAACAATAAGAACACACTACCATGAGTGAGTGAGTGAGCTGGGAGGAGAATTATTTCCCTTTCCTGAACATATTGAATTTGATTAGCTTGTTTTTGGCTATTTATCACCCAATTCCTCACTGGTAAACATGTTTATGAACTTAGCAGGAACAATAAGAACACACTACCATGAGTGAGTGAGTGAGCTGGGAGGAGAATTATTTCCCTTTACTGAACATATTGAATTTGATTAGCTTGTTTTTGGCTATTTATCACCCAATTCCTCATTGGTAAACATGTTTATGAACTTAGCAGGAACAATAAGAACACACTACCATGAGTGAGTG